CTATGGTATCTACAGTCAAAACAATAATAATAAAAATCGTCGAATTTTTATTTTAAACTTTATTACAAGAAAACGGCCCGGCAGATCTACCGTCAAAAACTAATCAGCACAATTCCCAACCAATATCTTTCGAACGGTTTTTGAATTTTTTCAAAATCGATTAAGAATTGGGGGCTAAAACGTGGACAAAAATTTTTCACTTTTCTGCGATTCATAAAGAAACGGCTTGACCGATTGTCACACAAAACTCAGAAACGCTAGTCCTCATCGAAATACATTGAATGGCTTTTAAATTTTTGAAATAGGTCCAACCGTTTTTGAGAAAACGTCGATTTACGGCAAAAAATCTGTTCACATACACGCACACACACACACATACTTTTTCCAAATTCGGTCTCATTCGATTCAGAATGGCTTGAAACGTTGAGAAAACATAAAATTAGCGAATCGGATTTTTTGATGAAAACATAACCTTCTCCTTCGGGAAGTTAATAAAGTGATACTTCAGATATGACATGATCGGTTTGTCATTGTAATTAGCATTTAGAAATGAACCTTCATTTGAGAAGTGGAGTAATTGCTGATTAATAAATTCTATAATATTCGTTCACACAGTGGATTATAAGTTCATCATATAAACAACGCCTAAACAAATATTGTTTTCGCAACTTCACTCATCATGAAATTGTGTTTGAAGAACTTCATGTAATTAAAATTAACATACATTCATTGACTGCTTGTATTTTTTTTTACTTTTTCGCGATATAATCTCATTCTTTGAACAACTTTTATATCTGTCTTGCCTAAAAAATATTTTCCATTTTAATAAATTCAAAGATTTATAGAGACTACGAATAATATAGAAATAATTTCTAAGAAAGAGGTAAAATATTAAGGAACAGGGTAAAATATTCTTCTGATTCAGGCATTTTTCATAACATCAACATTTGTACTACGATGTAACTTTAAAATGTTTATTTATCTATGCCGATTTCCTTGTCGATATCGGTACGCATACAACGACAGATCTCGACTCTTATCTTATCTTATCTGCTGTAACGCACTTCCGTTGCATTTGTACAGATTTACACCCTAGTCGCGCCTAAAGAAATTTTACTTCAAAATAAGCAAATCGATTTTTTTTGCGAAAACTTAATTTCTTCGGGAAATTATAATAATATTTATAAAACTATAATAAATCATTTCACAAATTTAAATTGTTTAAAACTTACCGCGGTATCCATGCCTAATTTAGCTCTGCCGGTATCATGGTGTAATAAACCAAAACAGTGTAATAAACATTGTTGGTTGGAAGATTATTTCCCATGGCTGTTATCACATAAAATCCCGTGGTATGAAAATAGAACCGCCACCAATAAGATCACACTGACTGCAATGTTTTTAAGTTATATTTAATTGTATTCTTGAGTTATTTTGTTTACATTGTTATTAACAGTGAAATTTTTTGATATGGTTTCCAACGCGTGAAGTTCCCATAGATTCGCACGACTACTCGGCTAGTAGGCGGCTAGTAGTCTGCACGTCTACTCGGCTAGTAGGCGGCTAGTAGTCGTAGTCAGTCGTAGTCTTAGACCAGGGCTTCTTAAAGTGGGAGGTCGCGACCCCCAGGGGGGTTGCGAGGCTACTAGACAGGGGTCGCAAACATCTGATACTTTTCAATCATTATAAACAAAATTTTAAAATTAGTATTATTAGGCCGACTATTTTCACGATAATATATGGCTTCTCAAGCTATGCTATTTGGCCAATATTTTTGATAAAATCAATGATATGAATTTATCAATGCAGGGAGTCTGCGTTAATATGTTTATGTCAAAAAATAAACTTGAGGCCTTTGTTAAAATAATTCTTATGTGGAAAAAACAGAGTAGAAAGTGGATCGCTCGAAATGTTTCCATTTACTGACGAGTATATAAATAGTAACAATATTTAAAAAAAAAGATATTCCTATAACAAAAATTATAGTTAATCATTTAAAGAATATGGAAGTTTACATGCATAGGTATTTTCTCAATGATATCGATACATAACAATGGATTTGCAATTCATTTTCAATTGAAATGGAAGATTTTCAAACTTAAAAGCACAAGAAGAATTTACCAAATTAACAAGTGATATTGTGACTCAGATTTTTTCAAGTGTATGTGAATGAATTTTGGATTGAAATCAAATCAGAATATTCCCTACTATCGGAAATAGCAATAAACAAATTACTGCCATTTTGTGCAACATATTTATGTGAATCAGCCTCTTCTACATTAAACTTACATAAAATCAAAATACCGTTCAACTTTAATATACGTTGAAAATTTATTACAATCTGCACTAACTTAAATTGAGCCTAGATTTAATTATTTGTGTAAAAATAAACAATCACATTCATCATATTAATATTGTTTGATGTTAATAATAGGTTTTCATTAAAAAAATGTTACAACATTTTATTTTTTCTGTTGAATATGTAGATATAGTTTTATGT